ATATATATACACATATATATATATATATATATATACATATATATATATATATATATATATATATCTCTCTATATATATATATATATATATATATATATATATATATATATATATATATATATATATATATATATATATATATATATATATATATGTGTGTGTGTGTGTGTGTGTGTGTGTGCGCAATTAAATTTAAATAAATTCTGAAATCAGAATTGGAGTTATTACATATTTAATACTGTTGATATAGGTGGCGCTGGAAGAGAGAAAAGGAAACACGTAAAGCCTACTTACCTAAATTTATCTTGCCTAAGTTTGGCATATTTTAAAAAATTAAGGGCAAATATTAATGTTCAAATTAAATATCTCGATTTTTGCAATTAATAATATTTAAACCTCCATAAATCGATAGACTATCGGACTTGCAATTTTTTTAATAATTTAATTTAAGGCTTAGTTAAATAATTGGTAAAATAATAATTATTAATATATAGAATTTGGACGAACCGTTAGATATCAAATTTCCAGAATTGAAAACGTATAATTTTAGAAGAGCCTACATATTCATAAAAAAAGATAGAATCTACTACAATAGACTCAAACTTGGCTCATAAATAGTCGAATTTAATTAAATAGCTTAATCTTGACCTGACTCATTAACAATTAGGTTGGACTTAAATATAATCCAATCAAACCATCATGGTTCGGTTAAGCTCGGCTCATATGCATGCCGGTCCCATATATTAAAAAAAGTATATCATTCTAGAAAGATTATTATTAATTGAGTATTATATTAACGAGGTTGTAATATATATACGAGGTCAATCACTTTTTTAGAAGAGCCTTCCATAACTTCTGGAGTCGTTTGCTTTATTGACATTGCTTTTATATATATATAAAAAAAATTATTAATTAAAATGAAGAACAAATTAGAGAATACTAATAATAGTACTTTGACGCAGTCAGACAATTGATTGAACAAGAGTGCAAGACCCGGTTTTTGGCACATGGATCTATTTATACAAAAATAGATATTATGAATTATCGGCCGCTATTATCGGAATAAACGAAATCTTTATAAATATTTTATTTAGAAATCTCTTTTTTTTACACTAAGAGAGATTTGTTACATTATTTTATTTGAAATGTTGTTACTTAATAATACAACTTCCCTTTATTTAAGAATCTCAAGATTGATTCAGATCAACAATTTTCAAATTTTGTTTGCAGTCAGTTTAATACTAATTGTGCACCGGTTGATTTGAGGCGTTTCTAGATTAATAGTTGTATATTTTATCAAAAAAAAAAAAAAAAATTAATAATTGTATATAATAAATAAACGTGTCCTATATTATTGACATTTTCCTAATAAAAAAAATGTGTAATACGTGTTATAAAAAATGGAAAGTAAGCACGTTTATGAAAGGGACGTGCTATTTGCTTGCAGGTTTAAATTATTGAATTAATATAGGTATGGAAATCGTCACGGGTGATGTGATGTAATGGAAATAGAACCACAATTACATATTGCACTGTTCCCAAATCTTTTACATAATTGTTTGTGAACACGACAGCTGAATATGACGTGGGGGAAATAATTATTTTTTATATAACGTCATCAAATTTCAAATGTACGTATGCATGTAAATCAACGGGTGACATTAGGGATGACAGTGGAGTGAGTACCTTTGAAAAAGTGCAATACCAGAATCATTATCATTTAATATAACTCAAACCATGACCATACTAAACCCATTTAAAAAGTTAACGGAAATACCAGAACCATTACCACGAATATCCGGATATCCACAGATACCCATTTACGGTTTACCATTTAGATTATGATGATAAAAAATAACTTTGGGTCCTATAATGTTTAAGTAACTCTCAGAAGATAGCAAGAGAAAATAACAGAAAAAAAAGTAAATTATACAAATATATCCTCCCAAAATTATTTAATATTTTATTTAAAATTTTGCCAACATATCTTCTTTATTCATATATATATATATATATATATATATATATATATATATATATATATATATATATATTAAATGGTCGGTTACCCATGACCGTAAAAATAAAATCAAAATCATAGTAAAACCATGACGGTTTTCTTTTCTTTTACCAAAATCATTACCAAACTCTAATGGTTTCCGTAACGGGTTTTAAACGGAGCGGATAGCTAGCGGTTCGGGTTTTTCTGCCATCCCTATGCGAGATCAAAATTTACCGTAATATATTTATAAAGATTTTTATATATTATAGATTTAAGTTGGGCCGTGCAAGTTTCCTTGTTGGGCCTCTAATCAAAGTGAGTATTTTCAACTACCATTGTTTCTTATGAAATCTATGGGCTTTTTGGTTTACTTTATTTTGATCGGGATTCTTATTTTCACTACAAAATTTATATATATTTTTTTAACGGTAAAGCTGAGCGGCAAGAATCTGGCTGGCCAGAATGGTCAACTTTGTAAATATATAAGAGTTTGTTATATCTAATTACTAACATGCCCTTTAATTATAATACCAACTAATTACTAGGATTGACAGTTTCAAAGTATTCAATCAGATTATAATTTCCAATGATCAATAACGTCAATTCAATTCTTCCATTCATTTATTTTGTCTTCTTCATGTCCAGAGTAAAAATTGAAAAAAAAAAAATAGAGGCTTCTACTTTTTTTAAGAGTTGTTTTGGTGGATTTTGTTGGAATAAAGACACAAAATTTGTGGAAAAATCATCATAATAAAGTTTCACAAATAATAATAATAATAATAATAATAATAATAATAATAATAATAATAATAATAATAATTATTATTATTATTATTATTATTTCCGATTGTCGACGCTTGTATTTTTAAATCCTAATGCAATTTCCGATTATTGATTAAAAGAAACAAAAAAGTGTCTGAGTGTAACGTTTTGGCATACTAAAATGCTAATTGTACCGGGACTTTTACTGAAATTGGCTTATTTGCAGTGGTAGTCTCAGTTGTCAATTTTCTAACTTTCTAAAAAAACCGAAACTCTCTCAACTAAAAAAAGTCGAAAACTTAGAATTTGAAACTCGTTCGACAAATTCAAAAATGAACAACGACTTATTCGATGGCTGATCCGGATAACTTTTATATGGTAAAAAAAAAAAGAAAAAAAAAATTAAAAGATGGTGTAATCGTGCTATACAGCAAGAGAAATATAAAAAAAAAAAGAAAAAAATTGGAGTTACCCGTGCTGTACAGCACGGGAACTTGGGTCTTAATTTTCATATTTTTTTTTTTACTTTATTCCTTTTTATTATTAATTTTTATAATTTGGTATGGTGATGATGGTGATTTTGACGAACAAACTGACGTTGAATGTACAAACGAGTACAATAATTCGAATATTTGCTATCATGTTTCTCAAATAATTACAAAATTCAATATTTAGAAAAAAATATTAAAAAAATATATATTATTAAAAACTTTAAGTTCCCGTTCTGCAGAACACGGGAACTTGAATAATCTTCAAGTTCCCGTGTTTTGCAGAACGGGAACTTCATGTTTTTTGAGTCCTCCGTTCTGCAGAGCACGAGAACATGAAGATTATTCAAGTTCTCGTGTTCTATAGCACGGGTGATTCATATTAATTTTTTATTTTTTTTGTCCGAAAATAAAAATTTAAAAAACAGTTTGAAGGTCCCGTTTTCTGGAGCACGAAATTTTGAATCTCCCATTTGCTGGAGCACGGAAACTCGAAGAAAATTCAAGTTCCCGTGTTCTGCAGAACGGAGGATTCAAGCCGTTTGAATCTCCCGTTCTGCAGAGCACGGAAACTCGAATGTTCTTCGAGTTTCCGTGCTCCATATCACGGGAGCTTTAAATTTTTTTTTTTTTTCGAAATTTTGCTAGATCTAATCCTAAACATGTGTTTTTACCTAAATTGGAAATAAAACTAATTAAAAGTAGTAGGATATTGAAAATTTACCGGAATCGAGCCTTGTTTGCTACGGTTTGAATATCGAAAAATTTACGAAATTCGAATTTCTAGAGAGAGTTTGGGAATAGGAGAGAGAAATTGAAAAAAAAAATTAAATGAAAAATGTACCGCTGCAAATAAGCCAATTTCAGTAAAAGTCCGGCTGAAAATAGTAACACCCTTTGGCATAACGCACAAATAAGTCAAAATTGGTTTCAGTGAAGAATTGTCCGCCGTGCAGATTTTGGGTCCACGGTAAAAACCAATCTTTTGGAGGAAGAGAGAGAAACATAAGACATATATATATATATATATATATATATATATATATATATATATATATATATATATATATATATATATATATATATATATATATATATATATATATATATATATATATATATATATATATATATATATATATATATATATATATATATATATATATATATATATATATATATATATAGATACATACATGACAGTATGATACATAGATACAAACTATACAGAGGATAATTAATATATGTAATATTGCAGAAATGGAATCAAACATAGCAAATATAGGCAGCTCAATCAAAGTGCCTGTTGTGCAAGAACTTGCAAAGGAGAAACTATCCACAGTCCCATCTCGATATCTCCGTCCCGATCACCATCTCATCCCCGTTAATTCTAAACGCCGTCAAATCCCCGTAATCGATATGCAAAAGTTGATATCCGACCCCAATTTCATGGATTCTGAGCTTCATAAGCTGCATACTTCATGCCAAGAATGGGGTTTCTTTCAGGTCTACTACATATACACACATACATATATATTATTACTTGTGTGTATTGATATAATGGAAATAGCTAATTAAACTATTTGCATCGTATGATTTCGAGTTGCAGTTGATCAACCATGGAGTGGACTTAGCAGTCACCCCACACGATGAAGCTCGAAATCCCCCCCATTCTTCAATCTGCCAATAGTAGAAAAGAACAAATTCAGCCAAGAAACAGGGGATGTGGAGGGCTATGGTCAAGCCTTCGTCGTCTCTGAAGAACAAAAACTCGATTGGGCTGACCTATTTTTCGTATCCACTTTTCCAACTCATTTGAGAAAACCCCACCTCATTCCCAAGCTTCCTCCCAAATTCAGGTTTCACAAAAATCACACACACACACACACACAAATACACATAGTTGTTGCTTAATTTCTGGCTTTTTTTTTTTTTTTTTTTTTCTGAATTCATATTGTATCGTGA